TTTTTCCTCTTGCTTTCAGTAACTCTATGACTTTTCTTTAAAACATTACTAGCACTTCCATAGTTCAGACAGAAACTAGCATTCCTTCTTGGGCCTGATGTGAACTAAATCCAAAACCACCAGCCTATTTTTTTTAAAGAAGCATTCCATTCAAAATTATCATTGTACAAAATGTTCATTCATTTGGCTTATTTAAATCTATTATTGTTGAAACTTAAAATACACACACAAATGCTAGATAGCTAGCTATGATAAAGTCTGCAATATACAATATTTGTTTAATATTTACATAGTATGATTTATTTACTTTATTTCCATGAAAAATACACTGAAAAATATTTTGATGACATATGTATTTTTTCTGTGGATAGGGGAGGGGGGCATTTTACAACAATGAAGTAGACTTTTCAGTCAGTTAACTCATAAGTACAAAGAAAAGAATCAAAATTTGCTCAGTGATGTTGTCTTTGCTCACGTGTACCTTACTGTTTCTTGTAGTGTTATATAAAAATAATAAGAGTCTAAATGTAATGTATTTTTTTCAGACCATGTACTATTTATTCTAGATCACTTCAAGATTCTGTAGTACTGCATGTAGATAATATAGGTGGAAATATGTATACAAGCATGTGCCAGACATTTGGTTAGTTATAAAAAGGTTAAAATTTAGCAAGGTCATTCAGAATTTTTTCAGAAATTATCGTGTATTGTAACATCCATATCTGAATATATTTTCTGATATAGGTATATTTAAGGTACAATTTCTAGCATGTGTATGGGTAAAAACTATGCGGTTTTGTAAGGCAATGGGCTCCAAACCGTCAAAGTACTTAAGTAGTTACCAAACATTAAGCAGTCCAATTGAGAGTCCCAGTGGAAGCAGTGGAAATGCTCATGTACTTAAAGTTAGACAAGTACTCAAAATTTTTGATAAATCAGGGCCCTAATTCTTAATCTGAATTTTCACCATTAAGAGTAAACATTTAATTGTGGAAAACTGTATTTAGATTTACGTAGCCAGGGTGAAAGCTGCAAACAGACTTCTCATTCCTCTTTATATGTGAGCATATGAGTTGAAATGATATATAGATACAGAATAGATAGATTCATATATGAATTTCCACTTCAGCATATATATATATAGTTGAACCCTAACCGTGTGACATTTTTAATCCCTTCAACTCTTCTGCTCCTCCCCAGCTCTCTCCCCACTCCAAAGACAACCAACAAGGAATGAAACAGAACTTTATTACAAGAATTAGGAATAGTAATATGGAGGAAGGGGAAATGATTTGTATTCTCAATTTCCTTTTTTTCACTCAATTAGTATACAAGGGAGAACATTTATTTTCTTTTTTTAGTTGATAAGTTTCTTCTGGGCTATATTGAAGGTTGCTCTACAGCTGTGACAGCACTAAGTGGCCTAATAACCCATCAGAGAATAGCTTTCAACAATTTATTTCCAAAGTCATTGTCTTTCAAGTCCTTAACCTCCTTACAAGAAAGCATGAGAGACTCCTAGGCCTAAAATAGGTGAGAAACAGAATCTACAACATTATACTAGCATGCAACAAATGAATATATTGTCTGAAAAGCTTCTTTGGGTAAGTGTGATATCTTTTCTTAGAACAAATAAATAGTCAGAAAAATTGTTTTTTGCAAGCTTCAGGGTACAAACACCCTTCTTGAGGCATAGGGAGAGTCTTCAATTGTTATGATATTATCCTTCATAAGTATATCATGAAATTTAGCTGTGGAGGAATGGTAGAGATAAGGACCTGAGTTATGGTTGGTAAATCCTGGAATTTTAACTGAGTTTTTTTAGACTTTCTAATGTTCTGGTTTTTTGAGTCACAATGCTAATTTGCTAATTTGCTGGTCAAGCATTTTCTTTAATCCCTAAGTCTGTATTTCTAGCCATTTAAAACATAAGCATAAGCTTTAAGCACTCTTTGAAATCAGTACCTTGTTACTGCTACTTACAAGCTTCATTCTACCTTAACCAATTTTTTTGTCTTGGAATTACTCAGATCTTTCATCATTCAGCCTTTGAAACATTCAGACAAAATTAGAGGGAGGGACTCTCCCACAATTTCAGTGAATGCCAGCCAAAGCAATGCGACAGAAAGAGTCTCTGCTCTTTCAAAATTGTGCTTTTGTAGAAGCAGGAGTCCCAGCTTCTTCTCTGACTTTTAAAGGGCTAGGGGAAGTAATTTCTTATATAAGTGACTTATTGTATTTAGGGATTTGGAGTTAAATTTCCAAGAGGCTTAATAACAGAGTCTAAGTCCCAGTTTGAAAACAGATTCCGCACTTAGGACTAGATTCACAAAGTGACTTATACAACTAAACCCAAAATTCAGATTCTGAAAACCTGCTGCCTAAAGTCTGTTGGGACCTAAATTTCTGATACTTATTTTCTAAGTACCTATAGTTCTGTTGTAGTGTGCTGCCTAGAAGCATCTCTGTCTTGACAATGATGAGGAGACAGGTGCTTCCTGCATGCCTACATCTTAGAATGATTCCTTTGCTGCTTTCTCCTCCTCTTCATATCCCGAAGGCATTCTTAGAGCATGCTTACCAGATCAGGCCCTATACAAGACACCAGAGATGAAGGCTGGATTCTCTTATATTTAGTAGTGCAGGGTTTAGAGTACACACTCATAGAACTGAGCCTTGACTTTTCCATCTCCTAGCTAAGGAGAGAGAATTCCTATGAGAGTGTCCTAACTATTCAGCTGATGGGTATAGCAGTTGGGTGCTCTCTGAATCTTTGCTGGAGTTGCTCCTGGTTGCCTGGACTTACTCATTTACCCAGAGAGAAAGAGAATGCGACTCTGGTGGTTTGTGCAGCCATCTGGAATGGAATAAACCTGGGTTCTAGTCCCCTTCCAATCAAAGTATTTAAGAGATTGTCATAATTAATTATTCCATGCAGAAAGGAACAACTAGAACAGAAGGAAATGAAAGAGCCCCACCCACTAAAACCTTACTTTTTGGTGGTTAGACTATCCACATGGAAGATATGGATTCAGATTCCATCAGCTAGAGAAGGGTATTTTCCTTGGATCTCTGAAATTCTAGGCAAGGGTGTCAATCAGTGGGCTACTGGGAACAAGGACTGACAGCATCTTCACTAGCAGTAATGAGAAAGGGCTCGATTAGGCACCTAACTACCGGAGAATGTTCAAGGCTGCTCCTCCTGAGTGGAAAGAGGTGTTTCATTCCAGTCTGGAATTAGTCACCTAGGACCCAAAGTAGAGGCCTCATGAGCTTCTTTGTCAATCTGGGCAAAGCTGGGAGGACGGTAGTGGATTGGCAAACAAGAGCATGTCTGGGACCAGGACCCCAAGGGTGAAATCATGGGGCTCACATGCCTCAAGAGCTGCAGGGCCCTAGCTCTATAGAGAGGAGAAGATACCAGGGTGGAGTCCAGGCAGCTGGGGGGTTAAGCCTCTCACCTGCCCCCACAAAGTTTACTACCAAATGCCATGTTGAGTGAAGAAATTAACCCCCTAATTTGGCACTGTAGAGAGCACCCCTCTGTTTTTACCCCTGGCTTCTTTCCTCCACAGCACTTACCTGTCAGGACCTGAGAGCCTCCTTGACACTCCATCAAGCTCCCAGCCTCTATCTATATGGTCCAAGATTGAAGCTGCTGGCATAGGAACATAGCTGCTTCAATTCCAACCCTTGCCTCTCCAACTTCTGTTCTAGTGCCCCCTCTTAGTCACTGCCCAGGGCTTGTGCCCCCCTCACCCAATCCTAGTTATACTACTGAGCCTGAGAGAAGCAGAATTTAAGATACATTTTTGTCTTTTAAATTTCCTATTGACTATTTTACATGGCTCCCTGGGCAGTGTGTTGGCCTTTATAGAGCACATTCTTGGGCGCTTGTATGTCCCAGTGTATTGTGTAGGGGATCCTGGGCTTTTAACCTGGGGCCCAGGATTCCATTAAGTAGCCAACTGCCTAGATTTGGCATTGTAATATTCAGCTTTGTGATGCCTAAGTCCTTTCTGAATCTAAGTATTAGGAGCCTACATCCTACTTTCAATAAGAACTTATTTTCTAAGGGCCAAAGTCTTTTTTATAATGAACCTGAAGCAATTAAGTCACTTAGGCACTTTTGAATATACTACCCCAGAGCACTGTAAAACTCAACTTGGCATACTAAATTCTAACTCCGTTCTAACCTATCACTTTCATGTATGACATGGAAAGAGATTTCTTTTAATACTCAATACACCGTGGGCCAGATCTATTTCTAGGCACAGTGGCACAACTACAAATTGGGAGGGGTTTGGAGTCAATCAGCTCTGTCCACTGTGTGAGTGAAGCCAGTGCAGGGTATGGAATAATTGTGTGTTAAACTATGAAAACTCAGCACATTTTCCAAGCAGCATCTGCTAGTTAGACTTCTGTGTTATTTAAAGGTGCCCTCTCAAGGTGGAATCCCCAAGGAAATATAGCGAATGTATCTACCATAGCCCTGAAGTGAATCCCTTGCAGTGTTGCTATCCCTGTGAACATAGAAGGGAGTAGTTTGCGTTCCCCTGCACCCAGAGGACTGAACCCAATACCTTATTTGTACGCAATACAGGTAAAGGAAATCATTTTCTAATAAAGAAGCCAGCTGCTGAAATAAGGTATTCACAGCTACTAATGAAAAACAGATTAGGAAGGCATCATTTACACTTGATAAATCAGAAACGGCATCAAAGAGAGTTAGTATTACAAACTATTAATGAAAGACATAATAATGAAACAAATCACATAATAGATCACAACAAAGTGATTCAGTGTAATGAATACTGATACTAAGTAACTGAACTGTGCACTCTGGGGATACAATTTTAAATTCATTCCAATGTGTATAGTAGCAATGTAAGCACAAAGAGCACTTTTCGAAAAGATAAATTGACCCTGCTCAGTCAGATCACATCATATACTAGGTCTTCTGTTTGATGACCTTTAGGTAGATAAAAACAGGACTCAAATGCCAGAACCCATTACATTTCTTTATTAGATCTTGTATCAAATTAGCCATTGAGGACTCATTTTCTATTAAACTATCAGCCAACTTTCTTTATTTGAAAGAATAATGAGAGATTATGAATATAACATATAATTTCTTTAAAATGATAACATGCAAATAATTCCTCAGAATGCATTACAAATGAATTTAATTCCTATAGTTATAAATATTTAATGTGATTTCTTACTGCATACAATTTGATGGCCCTCTGAAGAGAAACTATGGGGAGAAGAAGAAAGAAGAGAGGCCTGCTTAAGCACTAAAGTTAAGATCTGAAAACAGAATTTAAGATTTAGGAGTGTTTAAGACAGGGATTGGGGCCAGTCTTCAAAGGGGACAGGTGCACTTGTATAATTCACATCTAGAACTTGGTGTATATTCAGATTGCCTTTACCACCAAACTTCAGGAGTTCTTCAATTCTTGATTTTATTTCAGGCCCATCTCTACTAGAAAAAACAACACTGGTAATGCCAATAGAAATAATAGTCTTCTTTAAAGCATTAATGCCTTTTAAGAAAGAGATCCACAAAAATCACATACTGCACAGGGAGCTGCCAAAGATAATCATTGGAGTGTGATGATTATCACTAATGAAGCTGCTAGATTCTTTGTTTCAGGATTCTCACTCATTACATAGCCTGAGGATCTAAAGATTCTTGTTTCCGGTCTTGGCTGGGATATATTTATGCATCAAATTTCAGTGGGTATAGTTATTTAACTACATGGATGTGGAGAAGTGGAATATAATGCATGGTTATGCTGGAGAGGGCTGTGATTTAAGACGTGATTTTAAGAAAATGTAAAATTTAATAAATATTGACATTATTATAGATTTTACCCAAGTGTTGAATATGACTAACGTACAAATGTCAAAAATAACAAAAAAGATGTTTTGCTTAATATGTTACTACATATAGCTTATATGACAAATGCTCACATCTAACTCAGAAAGCCTTAACATAGCTTGGAATTTCTGCTTTATTTACAGTTCAATTGTGCAAAGCTATTAAGCACTCCTTGTAGGGTTGCAGTGTGGTGTTCACATTAGACATGTTTAATTGACTCTGAGGTTTTAATGTATTGTTTTGACATTCTTTCATAATAATTACAGTACCTTCATAATTATAAAAATACAAATAAATCAAATCAGCATGAATTTGTAGACGTGGCATATTCAGTCTGAGTCCTAAAAAATGTAACTAGGAATAAAGCCGTACTACAGTGCGTCCATCATTTTCATCCTCAGCAAGCCACCTTGAGGGAAAAACATAAAAACCCATAAT